CTAAGTTGCCCAGGCTGGCCTCCAGTGTGTAATCTTTCTGCCTCAGCCTCCCCAGTGGCTGGAATGACAGGCTTGCAACACCACACCTGGCACAAATAATTCAAAGAAACTCCCTCCTTTAACATGTACAGCCTTGTTCATCTTCCTTCTTCCAATGTGAGCTGGATTTAGTGCCTCACGTTTAGTGAATAGAACAAAGCAGAGAGGATGGGATCACAAAAGGTAACACATACCTTTCCCTCTCTTCTCTCTATTACTTATGCAGGGGGAAGCCTGCTGTCATGTCATGGGGACACTCAGGCAGCCCTGTGGAGAGATGCATGCGAGGAGGAACCCAGGCCTCTTGCCAACAGCCATGTGAGTGCGCCATCTTGGAAGCGGATCTTCCAATCCAGCCTTCAGATGAGACAGCTCCAGCCAATAGCCGACCTTGCTTGAGAAGCCCTGATCCAGAGCCACCCAGCCAAGCTGTTTCTGGATTCCTGACCTCCCAGACCTGTATGGATAAGGGGAGATTATTGTTTAAAGCTGCTGAGTTTTAGGGTAATTTAATCCTGGAGGCTCTGCCTTACCCAACTGCGGTAACTGTGGTAACTGTGTAGAAACTTTGGAGGAGGCTTTCACCCCAAATGAACCCAACTCTACTTCTTTTAGAAACTTGAGGCCACTCAGGCATTTCCATTCATTTGTCCTCCCCACCCCACACTCCCCTGCCCTTCATTAGTCCCAGTTGGAAGAGATCCTTTGAACTTCCTTTTCCTTGCCTGGGTTTCTACAAAGTTCACACAAAGCACAGCTTTATCTGGTACCACAACATTATTACCTTACTGCAGTTAAAGAGTTGCAAGCCTAATAAAATAGACTAGTGTCAGGAGATTTGGAGATGTGGTGGGTTTTGGCTTTTTTTTTTTTTTTTTTTCTAGAATTAAGTTGGCTGCACCATGCCTGTTGAGCCTTGCTCAAATATACCTGACTGCTTGAGTTCAAATCCTGGCTGTGCCAAGTGCTGGCTATGTGACCTTGAGCTAGTTATCAGACTTTCCGTGCTTCATCTGTCACATCTACAGCTTGGAGAATCTAATTATAATACCTGCTCAGTTGAGTTCTTGGAAAGAGTGAAAAGACAGGTGTTAGAGTTCAGTCCTTAAGAGCACAGGCTGTGGAGATAGATTGTCTGGGTTTGAGTCCTGGTCCCACCCACTTTACCAGCGGTATGACCTTGGGAAATTTACTTAGGCTTTTTTTTTGAGGGGGGAGGAGGAGTATTAGGGATTGAACTCAGGGGCACACGACCACTGAACCACATCCCCAGCCCTATTTTATATTTTATTTAGAGACAGGGCCTCATGGAGTTGCTTAGCTCCTTGCTTTTGCTGAGACTGGCTTTGAACTCAGGATCCTCCTGCCTCAGCCTCCTGAGCCTCTGGGATTAGAGGCATAAACCACTGTGCCTGCTACTTTTGCCTCAATATTCCACATCCATATAATGAAAGAAGAGACAAAAGTACTTACCTTCTATGACTCTATGAGAATTAAATGTATCCATTCATGTGCAGTTCCTGGCACATGGTAATACATGACAGGGATGCTGATATAGTTGTGCAGGTGGTTCACTTTCAGATGGGAGCTTGTCCAGGCTATTAGCAGGCAATTGCTTACGTAGAGTTGGCCCTGTTTTCTATTTTGTAGCAGGGCCATGGATGGGGCTTATGCTGTTAGTCTCAGGRGTTCAAATATTCAGTAAATATACCTCAGTAAGGTTCTTTGGCTTTGAGCTGATATTATTGGACTTATTCTGGGTATATCACAACTACTCCTTGGTAGTTTCATGGAATTCTCCAAAATAATCTCTGTGGGATGCCTACAGGCCAAGCCCTGCTGTTATTATTCAGACAGTGTATTGGAAAGCAAATAAGAAATCTTAACAATATAAGAAGTTTAAGATCATGCAGGACAATACTTGATGCTTAGTTATACCTACAGACAGAGTTCAAATATAGAAATAGAGTTCAAAATATAGAAAAATGCACAGGAATGACAAAGACCACATTCTGGATTAYGGCTTAACCTGGGGTGAGGAGAGCATGGGTTTAGGAAGCAGTGTACAGGAATCTTAAGCTCTGCTCAGAATTTATTTCTTAAGCTGAATAGGGTACACACCAGTGTTTATTATTTTTTTAATCTTAAGTATATAAAAATAATTTATTAGTAGTATTATTGAGTGAGAGCCGTCTTTCTAAGTGGGTGAYCACTTTGCATTTCTCTCCGCATTCGTCTCTGTTGAACACTGAATCGCCATATTGACAGGACCCCACAGAATCAAGCAGCCATTCACTCAACCGATATTAACTGCTGAGTGATAGAGCCTTCAAAGAATGGAGAACGTCATCGGTACATTCTGACACAGATGTTGGGTTATTTGACTATTTTCCCTTCTTTCTTTCTTTGAAAGTGGGGGCGCTCTGTCTGGTACCTAAGAGGTGATAAACAAATGTCAATTGAAACTGAATGAAACACCCAGATATGATCATTATTGTCCTGAAAGAGCTCCAAAATACCCAGGTTGAGAGAAGAGAGAAGCCAGTGCAGGTCCCGAGCCCCTCAAATCTGAGCACTCTGACTGACAACTCTTTATCAGGCCTCTCCTAGAGACCGGACATGTGACAGTGAGACCAGGGGCACAGTCCGTCTTCTCTTCACCTTCCTCACCACCCCCCTGGTCTGTGCCACCATCGTTTCCTGCTTCGGTTGTTGTGGTGATCAGTGCTGTCATCCTAGCGGGTCTCCCCACTTCCACTTTTCTCCCCACAGTAAAATCTCAACTGTGTCCAGGGACGTCCATGAAACCTCACTGGGAACACAGGACCCCTCAGCTCTCAGACCTCCCATGGCTTCGCACCTTGGGGGACAGCAGACGTGGCCACATTCCTCCAATGTCTCCCATGAGGAGGTGGAGTCTGTTTTTCAGTCCCCTACGTGCGTCTAGGCTGGCCTTGTGGCTTTCTTCAGCCAGAAGAATGTGGTGGATGGATCTCTGCTCGTTCTGAGCTTGGGCCTTAGGAAGATTTGGATGCTTCTGCTCTGACCCAGAGTCCTGCAGTTACCACGTAGCAAGCCCAGGCATGACCGTTGTGGGAGAGAGACCATGTGGAGGAGAGTTGCCCAAGAAAAGGCCATCTCAGACCAGCCAGTTAACAGCCAGCCTATCAGTTAGCTGAGATCAGCCTAGTCCCATCTTCTAGAACCTTCTATATAACCCACAGACTCATAAGCTAAAAACATGGTTGTTTTAAGCCATCAAATTTTTTTTCTTGCTTTGTTACACAGTGGAAGCTAACTGATACACCACCTCATTCAAAGAGTAAAAAAAAAAAAAAAAAAAAAAATAGACTAATTTACTAACTTATCCAAAGTACTTACAGCATTGTCTGGTACATGGTAGGTGCTGGATGAATACTTGTTGAAATAATTAAGAAATTCATAAATGGAATTAACATTCAAATTAAGAAAATAAATAAACTTGTAAAATAATTACAAAGTGTAGGATATGCTGTGAAGGAAATGCAGTAGCTGAGGTAGAGAATGAGAGTCAGATGGGAGGGCAGACCCTCTTTGGTTCTCTATTTGTTTCAGCACAAAAGCTAAAATCCTTCCAGGGGCCTCCAAGGCTGTACATGACCTGACCACCCCCAACCCTTGGCCCTGCTGACCGTGTTTGCTGACGCTCTCGCTGCCTCTGATCCAGCAGCACCAGTTTCCCTGCTGTCCCTCAGATGCTCCAAGCACATGCATCCCTGCTGATGCCCTTGCTGATGCCCTTGCCTGGGACGTTCTTTCCTTTGTATATAAAGTGTATAAATGCATTCTACCGTCATGTAGAGCTAATTAAAACAAATTTTAAAAATAATAAATAAAATTTAGCCTGTGGATACCCAAATACTTTAGGGACTACAACGTCCATCTTAATATTTAGCAAGGCCAGCATTTGTCTTTGAGTCACACKGGGAATAAGACAAGGTCTTCCCCCCCGCCCTTTATTTTTAAAGCTAAGATGCTCAGGTCAGAATTGGATTGCTGACTGAAAACTCTATGAACGTGCTCATGACAAGGGTAGCAGTACACTATAAGTCACGGCCACCATGGTAGYACACTTTATAGATTGCGAGGGACATTCTAATCCAAGTCATTACTCATTCCTTGCTGTCCGTGGGAGACAGGCGGGACAGGTTTTATCATCTTCCACAAGGGACAAAGACCACACGAGGTCAAGCAAAGTGTCTGAGCTCTGAGACCACAACAGGGTGGAGCCAGAATTCAAATGATAGTGAGTCTAACTCCAGGTCCAGTGCCTCTGTCTTTCTCCATTCTGGGCTCTGAACTGGTGACCTTGACTCCAAGAGTCAGGGCCAATCCTGAGCTCGTACAGAGGGAGGGTCCTTCAGGACCTTCTCTAGAGAGGCAAGGCCATGAACGGGTTCCAGCATCCCTTCTAGAGTTCCCTTGTGGCTTTCAGATGTACCCAACCTCTTATATTGACAAGAAAGAACAGCGCCCCGGGCCACTTTGTCCCCAGGTCACCCTGAGGCTGGCTAGACTGTGAGGAAGGCCCAGCCCAAGACAGGGTGGACAGCTGTTTTCAGTAGAAAACCAGAAAGAAATCCCAGCCCCGCCGTTTTATTTTGGTTGAAAAATCAAGTCGTGTGACAATGGAAACTCTTTCCCTGCTGCCCTGTCCTCCCTGCCATGTTGACAGCAGCCTGACTTGCTAATTCTGGCTGGGGATTTTCCCTGTGGCCTGTTTTTCTCTTTTATCTTCATCAATTGAAGAGAGCTGCTCTGCCTTGCCAACTGTCAGAAGGCTTCTGGGGTTTGGTGTATTTTTTTTTTTCTTTCACATAATTCTGGGTCTTTTCCCAGATATGTATTTTCTCTCCGACTACCTTCTAACTTGTTGAAGTTTCCGCCCACGTGACTTCCAGCATGAATTACCAGAAACCACAAGAGAGAGAGCGCGCGCAAGCCCCAAAGTGAGCGAGATGTCCCTGTGGGGAGCAGTCCCCCTGCACCCCAGAGCAAGGAGGACGCAGGGGTCAGAGGTGGCTGCAGGGCCAGTAGGGGAGGCACCTGTGGAGGGTGGAGGGCTGGTGGCCCAGGGACCGTCAGGAAGGGAGGCCAGCTGGTGACCCGAGAGCCCAGAGGCATCTGGGGCCGTGGGTGAGAGCCCGGAAGAGTTCAGCCATGCCACACAGCTCCGACAGCAGCGACTCCAGCTTCAGCCGCTCTCCTCCCCCTGGCAAGCAGGTAGGGTCCCCGCTCCCTCTCTCCTACCCTCGGATTCTCCTGGGGGGCAGGAAGCCGGGCAGTCTCTCTTGTCCTGCTCAGGGAGCTGCAGAGAGAGGAAGTGGCTTGTGGCATGAACACTCTATGAGACTGAGACATGGCATCTGTAGTGAAGCCGTGCACAGTGGCCTCTGCTCTGCCAGAGCCCCTTTACCTCTCCATTGCCCAATGGTGCCCATTGTCCCGGCCTTGCAGGTGTCCCCCCATGAAGCTTTCTAAGTAGCAAAGGGGAGGATGAATGTCAAATAACTCAGAGGAAGCGGTCCACTCTTCTCTCCGGCACTGGAAAAGTGACCGGAGGAGCCTTAAGTTGCCTGCACAGCCCAAATCCTGGAAGAGTCACGAGGGCATGAGAGGAAAGGGGTCAAGGTGGACTTTGGGAACAAGTTGACAGGAGGAGAAGGAACCTGGCGCAGGACCATCTCTGCTGAGGTGCTGCCTCTGTCCCCACACCTGCCAGCAGGGAGGGAGATGCTGGAGCTGCAGCCAGTGCTTCTTTATTCAGTGGCTTCTGGACAAGAGGAAGGAAATAAAGGGGAGATGGCCCTGGGAACCTGTTGGAGACATTTGCTAATAGCTTACCTCAGCTCTGGGGAATTGAGGCAGGGATTTTGGGAGATTTTAGAATCTAGATTGATTTCCAAGTCAAGAGTTTTCAGCTCGAGTTGCCAAGACCTTGGGCTCTCTACTCACCTCACGGCTCCTGGGGGCTTCCTCCTTGCCACCTCCTTAACATCCCGCCCCAGGGAAGTCCTTGTCCTTCTCCTCCAACGTATCTATCTCCATGGATTAAAATCGTCCCCACCTCTGAGGTTCAACAACTGCATTCTTTTCTTAGCCTAGATATCCAAGGGGCTTTCAAAATGCCCAGCCCAAAACGAAGGAAGGTAAATGTCAGACAGAGCATCTGTCCTTAGCGGCTAACCCGAGAGAGAAGTCCCGGTGGAGACCTCTAGAGGGCAGACCATCCAAGTTCAAGATGGTATCGGAGTGGCTGGGACTGCCTGGAAGTCTGTGCTGTACTTTTCTTAGGAAGGAAATTACTCATGGCTTCCTTGGTAATCTGGTCCCCGTGCCCCTTAGAGGAAAAGCACGCCCTCCTCTCTCACCCAGTGCCCTCCTACTGCAATGACCCGGGAGTGCTGCACTTGCTGGGGAGCGCAGAGTCTGGCTTGGGATCTGCGCCCTCTGGCCAGCAGGGAGGTGCGAGGGAGCCGGGCAGGAGCTGCATGGGCTTCTCTCAGACGTCTACGCATCGCGGAGAAAGCTGGAGCCAGCCTCTCCAGCCAAGCGGAAGACACACCCATCATGGGGTGTAATTAGAGAACACCCCGGGTCCGTATCCTCCTGCGCACCCACCCTTGACCCCCGACAGCAGGCAGCCTCCCTAATGAGTCCATTCTTTTTGGCATATTTTTTTGTACTGGGTGTTCTGATCCGGGAGTGGGAAATGTCAAACTGGCTGAGCAGAAGAAAGGGAATGAAGGAAAAGAAAAGGCAGCTCTGGGCTGGGGGCCTTGGGCCCCCCGGGTGTGGCCGAAGACCTCATGGGATACATAACAGAGAGGTCACTGGTGGTGAGGAGGTCTTGGGAAGGCTTTGGRCTCAGCACCGCAAGGGGCAATACTCACTCCCAGATTACTGTGAGCTCCTGGGCCAGCTCATAGGGCCTCAGGTTCTAACGGGATACAACAGAAATAATGACGCCCGCTTCACAGAACTGGGAAATTAGACAAGAGCACCTCTGAAAACACTCGAGCAGAAGTTGACACGTAGTAGATGCCCAACAAGGTTTGGGGATGAAAAGAAAAAGAAAACAGCCAAAAAGAACAGCAAGGGGGTTCTAGGAGATATAGATGTGTGTGTGTGTGTGTGTGTGTGTGTGTGTGTGAGGGTGAGGGTGGAGCAGCCCTGAAGAGGAGGAGAGGCGACAGACACTGCCTTCATTGGTTTTACCATTGTTGCTCAAAACAGCCCCATTGAGGCCTCGAGATCTCATGCTTCTTCCTCTAGTTTTTGGCCAAATAAGACATAGACAGATCTGAGGATGTGCAACAGGGTATGGAAAAGAATGCTCCTGTGGCTGCAGGCTTTTGGAAAATAAGGGGATGGATGGGTGCATGAAGAGATGAAGACAAGGAAGGTTGGATGGATGAATAGATGGATGGAGGGATGGATTGATGGATGGATGGATAGAAGGATGAATGGAAGGATGGATGAATAGATGGATGGAGGGATGGATTGATGGATGGATGGATAGAAGGATGAATGGAAGGATGGATGGATGATGGATGGATGATGGATGGATGGGTGGAAGGATAGAAGGATGGATGGATGGGTGGGTGTGTGGGTGAAAGAATAGAAGGATGGATGGAAGGATGGATGGATGGACAGATACCAGTACCACAAAAGCCTACTTTACTTCAGAAGAGAAGAGCAAACTCCTAATTCCCATTATCTCTACCTCCTAGGACTCCTCTGACGATGTAAGAAAAGTTCAGAGAAGAGAGAAAAATCGCATTGCAGCTCAGAAGAGCCGACAGAGGCAGACACAGAAAGCTGACACCCTGCACTTGGTGAGTGCAGAGAGCTTGGGCTTTGCTCTCCAAACCCATGGACCCTTGGACCACAGCKTTGATTCTGCCTGTGTGGGGATGTGTAGCTGGGGAGAGTAAGAGGAGGGTGAGGGCTATAAGGTGAGGAGGACAAGCTCTCCTGGGATGTATTTGAAAAATTCTGTAGCAGAGAATGTACCAGAGGCTGAAAAGAGAAATGAATCTTTCTCCCTGGGGAGAGTCAAGGAGTGGACACATTGGGTGTTGGAAGCCCAGAGGCCGGGTAGGGTGGAAGACAGAATCACTGGCTTGGAGAGGGGACAGCCAGAGAGAGCTCCATCCTCATAAGCCACCGAGAGCAGAAGGTGGACTGACTCGGGGAGAAATTGAGATGTTAAGTGCTTTGGGGAGCCTGTTATCCTACAGTGCTAGGACCACACAAAGTCTCATCCCTTTGGAGGGCAGCTGGGGAACCACCCAAATGTCCTTGCATTTGGGACAAGGAAGTCCACCAAATGCTAAACCTTACTTCTTTATTCTAAGCATCATTAAAGTTCTATTTTGAAATTTCTATCATTAATGATATCCCCATGTGAAAGATACAAGTTCAAGTGCACACATCTGGTCTGGTGCCCATCCTTGCCGCTCGCCCCAAGCCTTTCTAGAGCAGGCTGAACTCTCCACTTGGGCACAAGGGTACTGGGTGGGGCCGAGGGGCAGCTCCACTGGTGGCCCAAGGTCCTAGTAGTGCTTCTGACTCCCGGCTGTGTGCTTCATAAAGCAGAGCTTCCTCCGCATCTCCCCATCCTCCCCCTCCTCCTTTGACTCTGCCTCTACTTGGTTCCTTGCTTGACCAGCTCTTAACTTCACTGGTTCCTTCCTCTTCATCCCCTCATTCCTTCCTCTAGCAACACGGTCTTCTCATCCTTCCAGAAACATTCCCATACCTCAAATATTCTAGTACTTTCTTTCAATGGCAAAAAGAAGTACAATTGGTACCAAAAATGAATATTGTATTAATTTGGATGATTAGCATGGCACCTCACCAGTTAGCATGACTATTTTTATCTCATCAAGACTAAGATACTGTTTTACCCAAAGTGCAGGCATATGTTATAATCTCAGTGACCGGGGAGGCTGAGGCAGGACAATGGCAAGTTCAAAGCCAGCCTCAGCAACTTAGCAAGGCCCTAAGCAACTTAGTGAAACCCTATCTCTAAATAAAACATTTTTAACAAGGGCTGAACCTGTGGCTTAAGAGTGCCTCTGGGTTCAATCCCCAGTACAAATAATAATATACAGTTTTAAAGGGAACAAAAGATGTTTCCTCATCTTTGTCAGGAAACCAAGAACAGTCTGCACCAACCTCTCTGATTGATTCTTTTGCTTTATTTGAAATGTAGTTGGTATATCCTCCTTTGCAAGCTAACAATTTTAAGTCCATAAATATGTGTCAAATTGGAAAAAAAAATGAATGAACAGCAAGTCTGTACTAACTGTGGTCAACAGTCTAAATGCTAAGCTGTCCGTGTCCCTGCTACTGACATGCTCCCTGTGATTTCTTTGTGGCCTAGAGTCACATGGAAACACTCCCATTTGCTAKTTTAAACTTGAACATCTATGATCCATCACCTTCTCTGAGTCTGCAAATAAATATCAACTTAAAAGATTAAAAGCTTCTTTTTTTATACAAGTTGACAATGTCCTGAGACAAGCAAATTACTATAAACTGTATATGTTTTTAATTTTTTTTTTAAAAAAAAGAAGTGGAAAATAAATAGAGGTGAGCAGCTCAGTGGTCAGAGGACAGGGTTTGAATCCCAGCTCTGCCACTTGCTATCTATTATCTGTGTGACTGACTCTAGAGCCATTCCCAATCTCCCTTAGACTCTGATTCCTTATCTATAGAATGGGAAATGACAGTAACTACTTCATAGGGAAGTGCAGAAAAAGAGCTCAACACAGTGCCTGGCATACAAAAATACTCCAAAAATTTAATTACAAGATTGATAATAATAGTTATTAGTATAAGAAGTAAGATAAAAAAAATCACAACTAAGTTACACACACACACACACACACACACACACAGAGAGATTTTCACAGAATCTCAGGGTTGAGAGATTTCTTTAAGGCTGAAATGTTTAGGCACACTTTTTTCTTTTTTTGGTACCAGCGATTGAATCCAGGACATTTAACCACTGAGCCACATCCGCTTTAAAAATTTTTATTTAGAGACTAGTTCTCACTAAGTTGCTTAGGGCCTCATTATGTTGCTGAGGCTGGCTTTGAACTTGCTATCCTCCTGCCTTAGCCTCTTGAGTCACTGTGATTACAGGCGTGCACCATCACACCCGGCTCAGGCACTTTTGATGCCTAAGAAAAGGATCTTGTAACCTCTAGTGATAGGTAACTCCCTCTCTTCTAACATATGGAGAGGTACCCCCCCTCATCTTGAGCTGCACCCCATCTCCCTATAAATCTAAACCCCTGGTGTCCGTCCACCCCCTTGGGTGCATACCAATGAGCAGACACATGTGCCTCTTTGCAGCAGCAAGGTTTCCATCTCTGACTCGGCCGTCCTCTGTAAAACAAGAGTCAGAACCAAAAGGTTGAGCCTAATTATATTGGTTGTGACTACCTTGGGGGTAATTTCTGGAACTTGTAGGTCAATGGAGCCTCCAGTCATGGGGTCAGCATATCTACCGTCACACCCCAGCCTCAATCTCTAGAATGTTCTCATTCTCCCCACATCTGAGCTCAAACTCCTCACCCACTTCTTTCTTTTGAGCACCACAACATTCATCTTCACTTTTCTCCCCAGTGAGCAGATCACATCGGAGTCGAAGCAGCAAGCCTGTGCACTGCTGTCAATGCAATTTGTTTTTCTTGGCTTCAGGTGGGAGCTTGGGCAGCAGCATGTAAATTTTCACCATCAGGCAGAGTGCTTGGCCATGGTTTGCACTGTTCATTTCCTCTGGGTCGACAGACGCCCTTCTTCCCCATACCTTGTCCTCTCAATCACATTTGTAATTCAGGTAGAAGCTTCTATTCACCACCTGAGTCGAGTTTCACGGCTGGGTTTGCCCTTGACCCCTTTCCACGCTTGCTACACAGGAAATCTTCTGGCACCTTTCTCTAGCTGAAGGACTCATCCAAAACTTTGCAGACCAGGCTTTAGAAATTATGGTATCAAATAAAGGCCACACTTGTCTTGGGGTCTAGACCTCAAATGCTGGGGTGACATTGTTTTCCTGGTTTCAACTGTTGTCACTATTATCTATCTCAAAGTTCCCAGACGATTATCTCATCTCTCCAGTGAGAGTAAGGGATTCTGGCTATTGGACATTGGAGTAGCTGTCCTCTTCATGGCTCCCACCAACACACATTGATTCCTTTTAAAATGACAGGAGGGAAAGAACATTTAGTGATGATTGTGTTCCAAAATGAACCGAGGTGACGCATAGTGGATCAAGTGATTCTTTTTGTAATTGTTACAAAAACAGAGTCTACATACAGTTTTGATTCTCTTTCAGTTTGATGTCTCACACAAGTGCCCATCATACTTATTTTTTTTTCTTCCACGAGCAACTGTAGGGTCCCTTAGGTACAATACAGATGTCAACTAGAAGAAGAAAGGCATGACTTGCCCAGTTAGTTCCTAAAAATCTCAGCAGCTAAATAAGTGGATCCAAGATAATCAGCTGAAAARCCATTAGAACTAATAAGAGAATACAGACAGCTTCCAAAATTAAAACAAAAAGTAATACCTTTCCTACATGCCAACCATAACAAATTAGTAAATTTAATGGAAGGAAAAAATCCCAACCACCACCATTCTATGAGAAAGRGGTCTGGGGTTGTGGCTCAGAGGTAGAGCGCTTGCCTAGCCTGCATGAGGCACTGGGTTCGATACTCAGCACCACGTAAAAATAAAATAAAGGTATGTGTTCACCTAAGACTAAAAAATAAATGTTTGAGAAAGGAATAAATTTAACAAAAATCATGAAGGGTTTAATTTAAAAAAAAAAAACTTTTAAATGATTCTAAATGACTTTTTAAAAATTCAAATACTACATAGAAAGATGTATCTTATGTAAAGTTAATATTTTCATTAAGTTAATCTATAAATTTAATGTGCTCCCAATAAAAATTCAGTAGGGTCTTCTGGAAATTGGGGAAGAACTAGATGAGCTATTCTAAATCCCCATTGAAAAAGAACCATCTGAAAATTGCCAAGAAAATGCTAAAGAAGAAGGGGAATGAGGGATGAGCAGACTAAGCTGAAACGATTTGGAAAARACAGAGCATTGGACAGATTACAGAAACAGACCCAAAAACAAATTTAAAATTTAAGAGCCAAATACCTGTGACATTTCCTAAGACATTAGAACAAATTCAAGACAACCAGGATGGCATTTCATTCCCGTGAGGGAGGGCAGAATTCTTCCATAGAGTTGTGACAACTGTCTCATCACTTGGAAAAAAAGGGGGAAAATGGACCCTCCGTTCCTTATATGACACACAGAGACAGATTAAATCAAAAAAGAAAGAAATTTGGGGAAATAAAAAACCCATGCATGTTAAAAAATTGATCTTAGCCTGAAGAAGTCTTTTTCAAATAAAATAAAAACTCCTGAGACTACAAAGGAAAAAACTGATATATATATAAATTTTATGCATTAAAAAGTGAAAAAAAATTCTATATAGTTCAAAATACTATACGCTAACTCAAAGGCAAATGATAAACTGGGGGGGAAAATATCTGTAACATTTATGACCAAAAAAAGGTATGTTTACTTAATATATGAAAGCTCTTATGAATAGGAAAATGATTAACAACCCCAAAGAAAAATGAGCAATGATTACGAATAGGCGACTTCCAGAGAGAGATAAATGGCAAATAAATACGTGCAAATATGCTAGACTTCACTTATAGAGGGAAATGCCAATTAAAGCAAAAGTGAGATTTCTCTGCCAGATTGGCAAAAAATAAAATGCTGCTAAATCACGATGTTGCC